TCAAGGTCATAGAGGGGATATTTTTAAAAAGCTGGGAGTGGTAAATCCCAGGGGGCTACACAGAGGTGAGGAGTGGAGAAGTAAGACAGAACAAGGATTGAAGAAGGAAGAGAAGCTGGAAAACAGAAAACGACTGAGAAAGAAAACCTAAAGAGTGATCCCATATATAGGCTTGGAGGGAAATTATTCAACAGTCTAAGAAAAATGCAACTGTGAGGGAAAAGCAGGTCAAACGGTCCTCAGACAGACCACAAAGAGCCAGAAAGTCTAGTTCTCATGAATAATTACATAAAATTCTCATACTATTTACTTAACAATGTAAAAGTCAGAAATATCTGTAAGAAAAATTACTAATATTTATATATTACAGATGTTTCAATGTATTTTAATTAGTTTTATATTGTTTGTGTTTATACACATATATATTTTTTAAGAGACAGGGTCTCACTCCATCTCCCGGGCTAAAGTGAGGTGGTGTGATCACTGCTCACGGCAACCTCAAACTCCTGGGCTCATGCGGTCCTCCTGCCTCAGCCTCCTGAGTAGCTGGGATTACAGGTGTGCAGCACCTGGCTATGTTTGTGTTTATACGTATAAACCAATGCTGATAAGAATGTTTTATAGTCTGATAAGTGTATAAATTATATGCATATTAAATATTTATACATAAATATATAAATTATTTGCTATATCATGCAGGATATAAGGTTCTTCAAATCCATAAGGTGTTGTTCCAGAAAAAGATGCTAAATGGCAGAGAAATCAAATAGCTGGCAGAAGGTTAACAATACAAACAAGTCAACCCAAGTTAACAATTCAGACTAGATTCCCATCTAGCCCCAGATCTTTTGGCCAGTGAAGTCCAAAATCTCCTTCTGCTAGCAATAATTCTTCACTTTACAGCAATTCCAGATAAAACTATTTGTTCTACAATAAGAACTTTAACTCATTGATTATGTTATCCGGTTCTTTCTCCTGACTTCTTTATTCCATCCATTCTATCACACTCCCCTATCTTTCAGACTTACAAACTCAGTATCAGTTTTAATTCATCATCTTACTTGTCCTTGAGTACAAATCATATCGATTCTACTTTAGTCTTCAAAATTCATCATAATTCTGCCCTTATTATCTCTCCCCTGGACTATAACTGAAACAGCATTTAAACTGAGTTCTCCCCATTGAGTCCACTACAACCTGCCATGCCCTCAGCACTACCCAGTCGGCCCTCTATATCTGCGGGTTCAACCAAGTGTGGATTGAAAATATGCAGGAAAAAATAACAATGCAACAATACAAAATAATGCAAATTAAAAGCAATACATTATAATTGTTTACCTAGAATTTACATTGAATTAGATATTATATGTGATCTAGAGATGATTTAAAGTACACAGGATATACGTAGGTTATATACAAATATTTTGTCATTTTATAGCAGGGACTTGAGCATCCACGGACTTTGGTACCTGCGAGGAGGTGAAAGTCCCCTAACCAGTCCCCCATGGGTATGAGGGACAACTGTATTTCTTTTTATGAATCAGAGCACTAACCATCACTCCCACATTCAACACACTTAATAGTTCCTGCATGCTTTTTAATCGAACACAAACTTTGCATTCAGGTTCAAAACTCTCCAACAGCTATTAACTCTCAACATATCTTTTACTACTTTCCCCACAGCCCTAAGATCCAGCCAAGCCAAACTTGTAGCCCTCACTATTCCCCAAACACACCTACATGCTTTTCTGCCTCTAAACCTTTGCTTAAATTTTTCTTCACTCAGAATTTGAACAGTCCACATTTGGGATTAAAAACCTCCCTACACTTAAAGACTTAGGTCACATGCTGCCTCTTTCTCAAGAACTTTCAACCACAGCATGTAACCCCTACCTCGGGGAAACCCTCATAGAAACGTGTAGAAACTGCATCCTGCATTGCCTTACAGACATTTAGGACTTGTCTCAGCCTCCCTACTCAATGGTGAGCTGCCATACGTTTCTCATCTTTCTATCCCCTTCAACAGCAGAGAGCCCGGCGAATATGCAGCTCTTCGTACGTGTGTGCTACATTGAATTCTATTCGCTTCCCAGTTACTAAAACTGAAGCTCTTTTAAGCGGCATATTTCAAAAGTGATTTCAAAAGATTTTTAAGAAACCAACATTTTGTTCAAGTGTAATCACAGTTGTCCATGGGGTCACCCAGAGATCCCTTAGAAATATCAACTGAAAGTTCGTTTTCATGAAATCAAACAATCTGCTGTTGTTAAAGACATATTTCACCTAAATTAGTTTATCACTTAATAGACCATTACATCCACAGGAACAATTATTGGGCCAGACCCTTATGTTATAGAGGTCTGACAAAGATTCATATACCATAAACAAGTGGACACCAAAAGTGGACCTAATCACTTTCAACCAGCTCAAACTAAAATAAGTATGTTTCTTATGATTCACAGTAGAAGAATCCCAATGGACTTAATTTTAAAAGGGCATAGTGTCTCTAATACAGCTGCTCTGAAGCTGGGTCAAAATAGTTATCCTTGCTTGACTTTTGGGGCCTTGAATCAATAATGGGCCCAGACTACATGAAGAAAACTAAATCACTATCCCTGCATCAAATGCCCAATGTAAACACAAGGCCAGGCTGTCCATCCATCTACCTGTCGTCAATCCACCCATCCATCTCTCCATCCATCCTTGCATCCATACTCGTCCATCTTTTGTGCATCACTGTAAAAATATTGTTATCTCCACATACACATATTAATATACACTGAGTAATCACTTACTTTGTGTCAACACACTATTCTGTTTTCTGTATGTTAAACCTTGCAACAATTCTGTAAGGTAGTTACTGCTATTATTCCCATTTTACAGATGAGGAAATCAACACTCAGGATGTTTAAGTAACTGCCCAAGTTCATACAGCTGTTAAGTTGTGGAACTTGGATTTGAATTCTGGAAATTTCCCCTGAGAACCCTTAATCAATCTATGATAGACTATCAGAGCAGAATTTTGCTTTCATCACAGATGTTAGAGAGGTCTCTGGAAGTTATCCTATTTCTGGAAAGGACCTACAAGGGCTTATCATAGAGTTAGAGGCCCAGGTGCACACAAAAATAGAAAACCCGCTGTTTCCATCTTACTAGTTATAAAATTGGAACTGTCTCTTGAAAATAAAATTGAGAAGCTAAATTTGAAGCATAGGACCAGCCAGCAAGCCAGCAAGATGGCCCAATGTGCCACGTGTAAGGGTCCCCTCACGGGCCCAGCAAAACATGCGCAGGGACAGATTCTGCCTGAGGCCTGCAGAGTCATCAGTCAGCAAGGTGAGAATGGAAAATGAACACAATTATTTCATTCAGCCTTGCAATAATAAAGAACAGTGTTTCTCCTTCTGTAGAAATGCACACATAACCAAACAAAACCATGCTTGACTCAGTCCTGCATTTCATATCAGGAAGGAAAGAATGTAGTGACTAAGCTGTTATGAGTAAAAACAAATCACTTTCTACGGGAGGAACACAAGAGTGCTGTACACCGTAGCATTCCCTCTGCAGTTTTACAGAAAGGCACCAGCTCAGGTTCTTCAGTAGGGGAGTTGATCTAATGGCACTCATAACTAGTTTCACCAGGTAAAGGCTGATCTCATTTCTCACTTTTTTAATGAAACAATAATAGAAAAAGCCCTGGAAAATTTATTCAAAACTAATGATATTAGAGAGGCCTTGCCAGAGGCAATAAAAGCCAGAGAAGCCAGGTAACAGTTGAATTTGGAATGAAATATGAGACAATACTTAACTTTCATTCCAAAGGGTGCTACCCTTAATAATACTGTAGCTTGTGAGACTGACGAAGTTAAATAACAAGTTGTGGCATTCAATATTTTTAAAGGGTTGAGCCGCAGCCCTCACGGGGTAAACAAACCATATAGATGCACCTGTGTCCCTCTGAATTACTTCTACGACTGTTTTCTCTGCTGCCAAACAGCCGGCATATTAAGTATTCTCACTATGCACTCCTGGGCCCAGGTGCCAAGAAAACACATTTTGCTATAAACTCATTCTTGATCTGTGTTAGTGTTGGGTGTCTTATTAGTCTTAGCTACATTGAGGGCAAAATAAGTTGCTATTTTTTCCCTACATATTTGCCAAACCCTGGCTGGAATGCATTGCATTGTGTTTTTACCAATGGAGTTCCTGTGTCATTCACAATAAACTAATTGAGGTTCTTGGCCTTAAGTAAATGACACCATTTATACGAAACAGGTAAAGAGGTTAAGGGTGTTCCCCATCAAGTAATTTCTTGACACTATCAAATATCAGAACCTGAATCATTCCTTAAAAATATACAAGAGAAATGAATGTGTTTTTCACTCTACCCTTACGAAATACCAAGTTTCACTGCAGCTAAAAATCCAAGCAGCTAAAACAATACAAGAGCAATCGCTTCTAAGTAAATACGTGCATGTTTATTTTTTTTCCTTGTTAACAGTTTTATAATATGCACCCCTGCCTGTGAACTATATCCTAAGTTATGAGAGGGCAAATCAGAGTTCAAAGACACAATCTGCCCCACTGGAATCCAGGAAAATAATACCCCCCTGTGTGTCCTAGGTAAAAATAAAATACAGGCTATGTTCTTCAAATATTATGATTAACATTCTTGACAGGGGTAGGAGAGCGCAGCAAAAAACTCCGTTTGTGAGGACGTTGGGGAATGTTGCCTGTAATAAGGAACTTAAACAGAGGCAAGTGAATGAAACTCACAAATATCATTTCCATTTAAGTTTGCACCCTAGGGGGGAGAAAAGTATTGTAATAAATGATTTCAGAATTGACCAGCAAAAAGTACGACCTCCACCATGGTAATAACTTACTTGGTGTGTATCTGAAGGAAGGTGTGTCCCACCCTTCACTTCTCTGTGAAGTGGTAGAGATCCCAGGAGGGGAGTGCTGACCTCACAAGGAAGGAGACAGCGCCGCCCCCTTACCTGCACAGGTGCTCCCGTCGTAGGTCTCGCACACCCACTCGTGGCACTCGCACAGGGGCCCGAAGTACGTGCCCGGCTCGGTCACGTGGCAGATGCACACGCCGCAGTCGCACCGGCCGCGGCCGTGGCACAGAGCGCCCCCTGGCGGCTGCCCTGGCGCGCGGCACCGGCGCTCCGACTCGGCCCGGGACAGCCTGCAGGCGGCGCCCGACCAGCTCCTGCGTGGGGGACAAATGCCAGGCCAGGCCATGGTCAGACTCAGACACTGCCCCTCTGCTTGGAGCCCATGCTTCCTCCCCAGAGACCCCTCCGAATGGAGAACCTTCCTCCCCATAGAGGGGAGCCTGAGGCCTACATTCCTGTGGGGGATACGCGAATCCTAGAAGGGCTGTGTTTCCCCAAGCAAACAGGTACCACCCACCTGAGAAATGATCATGACCCAAAACGTCTAAGGATGATCTGCCCACCTGAACATAGCACCTTCTTCCAGGTGGGCAGAGGCGATCCATGCCCCTGCCCGTTGCCAGTTTGTCCCTGAATCTTATATTCACATTTAAATTAAATACAAATTAATCCAAAGTATGATACTTGGCTGCCTTTTCTTTTCGGTTCTCTTTTGAAAAATGTCCGCTTGCTATCTGATGGCCAAGGGGCAGTTATTTTATGAAAAAGAAGAGATGAATATATAGAAAGAGTTATACATATTATGATAGGGTAGGGCATACCGTTTTTTAAAATTTGAATTAAACAATCTTTGCAAACTCATCTTTTAAAAAGTTTAGTCTAGCTATTGCGATGCACTTCAAAGTCTTTTTCAGAATGTAACGTAATACCAAATGTAATATATGTTGATGGTGTTAGGAAACCAAAATAATGTTGCCTTTTAAGCTAAGAGAGCATGCAGGTACACATAGGACTACCTTTAACTCCTGGCAGAAATCCCTCCTGACATGCATTTGCAGAGGAGGAAATATTTTTATTCAATGATTGTATTTTGCCAAAGGAAAAGCAGAAGGACAGAGACAGGGAAATGCACAGTGTAAATATAAGGAAAGGAAAAGGAACAGGTTGAAAACAGTTTATCCCATGTCCAGCGTAGTAACTCCTCTTGGCTTAGGACAGCCATCCTGCAAGCTTGAGCCCTGCCACACAAGCAGGACAGGTCTGTCTTAAAGAATAACAAACCAAACTTACCTCAGAGACGGAGGCGAGAAGCTTTGAGGAACAGCTGACAGCCCAGCGAAGAGGAGGGAGGACGCCAGCAGCAAGAAGTTCCTGAATCCTGGGGGACGCATGCTGAGCTCCCGGGCTGCGCAGGGCCAGCTGCACTTCTGCAAGGTGGGGCTCACAGCAGGAGGGACAGGAAGGAGAGGTGCCACCAGCAGATGGCCGGGCAGACGGACCCACGGACACCCAGGCTTGCAGGCCCGGGACTCCACCCGGAGTTGCGATTGCGTTGATGAGCTGCCTGCGAGGATTTGGGCAGCGGCACTGCTCTGGGCGGGGTGCTGGTGCCAAACCCCTCGGTGGAGAGTCTAGGCAGGGAAGTAATTAGAAACAGTTGTACAAGCAGATGGTTTATTTTGACATTAAAAAAAAAAAAGTGTCCTGTTCACAGATTTGAGAAAATCGTTTCTTTCTTCAAGTACAGGCCCCAGAAATATTTGACAAGAGAATATTTGGGCTGGCTCATGTTAAAGGGGCGGTTAAAATAATCCCCAAGTCCTGAAGAGGAAGGGCGAGGCCAGTGACACTGGGTGTGAACACTTAGGTGGTGAATTGCTGTCACCACGGGCTTTTTAAGAAGACGCAGTCTTTGGGGTTTGGGTTGTGGGGGCAAGCAAATCTGGCAAAAGCAACTTTTTCTTGTATTTGTTATCCTTTATTTTAAACGGTGGGCATTTCATTTCTGAAGTCTTTAAAAAGTGTGTCATGCTTCCAGTTCTTCAGGCCAGTAGCTTATCGCACCACATTTTTTCTTGACTTGGACAGTTCAAATTGTAGTTGTCCCAAATTCACCCCATTCTCCCCCATGCATCAAGTATGAGGAAACAAAATTAAATGTTTGTTTAGAGTGTAAGCTACACTGAAAAATTATCAGTGTCACTCACTAAGTACCTACTACCTGCCAGTCATTTAGGATATTCTCTCTAATTGTGACAATAATCACACATTCACTTACTCATTTGGCAAATGTGGATTTAGCCTCTATCATGTGCCAGGCTCTGTGCCAGATAGAAGGGACACAGCAGCAAACTAAAAAGAGATGATCCCTGCTCTCTCTGCATCCAGTGGGCTAGTGAGACATTAATCAAAACAAAAACAAATACAAAAGGACAAATGGTTGCAAGTGCAATGAAAAGTTACTTCCCAATTAGATACAGGCACCTGATCTAATCTAAGATGATGACATTTGAATTAAAGACCGAAAAAAAAGAATAGAATTAAGTTGGGTGGAAATAAGAAGGAGGTGGCAGAGAGTGGGGAAGCATTCTTATTCCCACCTTAAAGATAAAGAAACTGAGGCCCAAGGGGTCAGCCAATTTGCTCAAATTCACACAGGAAGTTAGAGTGGTGTTTCAGCAGATATTCACGGTAACCTAAAGCACACACGCTGTTCCCTACATTTGTGGTCACCTGGAAAAAGTGTGTAGAGGGTTATATAGAGGGAAGAAAACATTTCTTCACTCTAAGTAAGGCGCTTTAGATGCGCCGTTTTCTCATGAAATAGAAATATCCAAGAATCATCTGTGGTTCTGTGGTTTTAAAATCAGGGATGAGCTATAACAGGGTGACATCTCTCCCTGTCATTTACATGAATAGATATAAGGGCAAGACTACTGCAACATTTGCCTGCTGGAGCGAGAAGGCAAATGAGGATCCTCTGATCACAGCTCATCCTGTGGTCTATTTCTACCCTGGTCTCCGCCTTGTACTAGGAGCGGCTTTGCATGGGGCAGGTCTCTGTGACTACCTCAGCCCACGCAGTTAAATCTCCAAATGGCTGACCTTTTGTCAATCCTTAGACCCATGTGTGTACGCACTGGTAGGGGGTCTTCCATTAACAGGGCAGACTAGGAACAGGCGTGCACAGTCCTGGGAGAAGTATTGGAGGATGTTCAGGCAGGGAATTCCGGGATCTTGGAAACCCAGAGTGTGGCTTAGAAGGAAAGACACAGGCTCTGGGTTGCCAGGTACCCTGGGTCACATGAACAAGTCATCTTGTGGGGAGGGGTCTCTCTGAAGGAGAGACAGAATGGAAGTGCTAAATCAGTGGTTCTCAAAGCATGGTCCATGGAGCAGCAACATAAGCATCATCTGGAAATTTGTTAGAAATGTAAGTTCTCAGGCCCCAACTCCAGATCTAATGAATCACAGAGTGCATTTCAGTAACATCCCAAGAAATCTATTTGCATATTATAACTTGAGAAGTCTTACGAATCACAGGGCCCAGGGCTGTGCCTGAGGGTGCCTGGATCTAAGAGTGGTATTCCACTCACTCCCAGCACAACTTCTAGAGTTACATTCATTCCTTCCTACCCACATGCAAGACTATGAGGACATAGGACTGGGCTTTCTTGCCAACATCTAGAAACCTTGGTGACTCAGAGAATACGGGAATAGTAGAAGAGAAGCTTTAATTCCAAAGCCTGACTAGGAATTTGCAATGAAAACATAGGAGTTTTAATAAATGAGTCATGTATTGTTTACTTTTTGCATATTTTCCAAGGGGAAAAAAGAATCATTGTGAAATAGGGACCTGATGTCTGAACATTTCTTTCATGGATTAAAATGATCTTTTTAACCTGTAGTACTATCATACAGTGTAGTATCCAATGAGCAATATTGTCTTTAATATATTAAAGTCTGTAGCTGTGAAGTAAAGACAGTATGTACTGGGGGCCTGAGAGAATTAAAAATTCAGGTCATTATATTACTGTGACTCAGAAATAATATTCCTAGTAAGCTGAAATAGTTATATTGTGGCTGACTTGGTGACTCAGTAGAAAGACTTGTATCCACAGGAACTCTGTTAAAATGAAAGGATAACTTTAATTTTATTCCTTTTTTAGCAAGCTTGGATATTTTTTTCCTGCCAAAGCATTAAATGCCTTAGAAATACCCACTTCCTTCCCTTTCCCAGTTTGAAGAACCTCTAGGACACACATGCCGCATGGAGGGCCCTGGGTTTCTCACTTCACCCGGCCGAGAAGACTCCACGCCGGCGTCCAGACAAAGCAGTGGATCGCACAGTGAAGGGTGCCTGAGAGAATCTGGTGCATCTGGAACCAAACTCGAAGAGATTGAAAGCATCTTAGTCCTTGAATGTAGCCCTTAAGTCGTCAGGCTACAAAATTGTAGAGTTTCGGGAGTCAAGGAAATTTGCACAGTTTCTCTGGATCAAAATCAAATTTTTTGAAAACATACACTATACCTGCCAAGTGATTAGGCAGATTTGGTAAGAAAACAAAAATTAAGAGGAACACATCCCTTCCTGAGAATTGCTCTGAAGTTTTTACCCCTTGGTTCCAGGTCTACTCCAAGAGGCCATTTAAAATAAGATCCTGGCCACTAGCCTTGACTCAAATATTTGAAGATATAATAATGTGTCCTCCAGCCCTACTACCTGTCCACATACTCGCCAAGTAAGTCTATACTTTTTAAAGATAAATATTTTTGTTTCCTTCATCTCCTTATGTATTACAACTTTTAAGCCTGCAATACCCCGATTTCCTGAGTGTTTTTGCTTTACCTGTGGTGGATGCCCTTTGTAAAGTATGATATACACAACTGAAACCGTTAAAGTTGGTCTGGTCTAATGTATGTAGGGCAGATCAGTACTTTCAACATTTTTGTTTCATATGCTACATTTATACTGGTAATAGTGAAGATCACATTAGCTTTTTTGACTGCTACATTGCTCTAATTGTATGCATGTACAAGTGTATTTTTCCCCTAAACACAAATTGATCTTTGTCTTTGTTAAATTTTATCTAGGCTCAGCTTTTTCATCTAGACAGTAAAAACCATTATAGATACTGCTTTCATATTTCTTTCACCCTCCCCAAAGTATATATTAATATGATGAGCATACCTTCTGTCTCTTTATCCAAATAATTGATAAGATAGTTGAAAAAAATCAGGGTGAGGACCATGCTTGGATAAGACCTTTCTTCAAGACAATACCAGTCCCTAGTGAACAGGTAATCCAACCACTTACCAGTGTACTGAATTGTCTGGTATCAGCCTATCTCTTCCTTTTGTTCACAAGAATATTATGAAAGATCCTATCAGCTGCCTTACTATTCTTAGTTTACCAAGTAAAACTTGGGCTTTCGCACCTTTTCTGTCATCATCTAAAACAGTGCCCAATACATATTATATGCTCAATATTTATTTATGGCGTGATTAAATTAACCGAAAATGATGCACAGCATGAATAATAGATCTATGAGTCAACAAAGGATGCAGGTGATATAGTGGATTTGGATCAGTTGTCAGATGACATCTGTGGCCTTTAGTATCCTCCTGACATCACTGTGGAGTCAACTCGAAACCACAGAACACCAGATTCTTTTCCTATACTCCCAATTTTTGTTAACTATATCATTTTTTTACCTAATCCCCACAGTCATACTCCTGAGAGTTACCTTTGGTTCCTCTCTATTCATTTGGATTATCCAGTAAATCCTGAATTATATTGAGTCTACCTCCTAGTAATCCAGCCTTCCACTTCGACATGTTTACTTCAGATCTTTATCTTCTGTCTTGCACACTATTGCCATATTCTCCCAGCTTGTCTCACTATGTTCATTCTCATGCTTTTGTGTCTACCCTTACTCTGCTTCCTAGGACATCTTTCTAGCATATAAATTTCATCACATCCATTTCCTATTGAAAACTGTCTTAATAGTTCTCCCTTGTTTGTAGTATAGAGCCAAGACTCTGTAAGTTCCTATAAAGTACTTTGTGCTTGGACTCTGACTGTCTCCATAGTGGATGTTATTATGGTTCTACATCCAGACCCTCTCTCCAGGGCCCATGCAGCCACCTCCTAGCTGATGGAAGTATCGGCTTCTGCACACTTTTCATTGGGAATTGCCCTCTGCCTGAGAGAACAGCCTTCCCTAAGGCTGATCACTCAGATTCAATACAGTTCCCTAATCTCCACCTCCAACATAGGCAACCTTAAGCCCCTCGCATTTGGCAATTGTAGAGCTAAACAGCTCCACCATTTGTGCTCCATGTCAACAACACAGAAAGACTCAAAAACTGAAGGCAACGAGATGTGTGAGGCGTGAGGTTGAACAAGAAGATTGTATCAATACCTTTACAGGAGCAATTGGACCTCAATTCTCCACCTATGCTCCATTCAGCTAGGGAATTACCTCTTTTCAAGCCCTATTGAGACACTAGACTCCAGACTCAGGAATACTGTTCACAGCAGAGGCCAAAATGGAAGAAAACAGAGATTAAGTGAAAATGGACCCTCTGAACAATGATAATCCAGCTCCTTCCCCTGCCTGGT